AAAGTAATCTTCTCCATGCACTGTGAATATGTACGTTGCTACTTTCATCCAAGAAATGGATGGAACACCACATGGATGTACAGTCTCCCTCTGCTGCCGGAGTTTACGTGTGGCATGTCTCACAAGACACTCAAATTCCTGATTCACTCCTGTGCAGTACACATGTGCTAGCTTTCTTGTGCATTCAAAACCCATGTGTTTGTGATGTAACATGGAGATGATATCCTGGCGTAGTGCTTTTGGCATCAGGACTTATTTGTCCTTGAAGGTAACTGGTCTTGGTATACTAAGTTCATCTCTGTATGGCCAAAATGAACAAACCCCCTCAGGTAATTCTTTAATGCTGACAGCCTGGATAATGAGCTTTTGCCACTTTTGTAGTTGCTCAACATTGGCATAGAATATAGAACTGTACAGCGCAGGAATAGGCCCTTTGGCCCACAATGATGTGCCGAACATAATGCCAAATTAAACTAATCCCTTCTGCCTGCCCATGGTCCATATCCTTCCATTTTTTGCATATTCATGTGCTTATCAAAAGTTTATTAAATGCCCCAATTGTATCTGCCTCTACCACCACCCCTGGAAGCGCATTCCAGACTCCTACCACTCGCTGTATAAAAAACTTGCCCCTCACATCTCCTTTGAACTTTCCCCCTCACTTTAAATGCATGCCCTCTAGTTTTAAACATTCCAACTCTGGGAAAAGGATTCTGACTGTCAACCCTATTTATGCATCTCAATTTTATAGACTTCTATCAAGTCTCCCCTCAGTCTCTGCTGCTCCAGAGAAACCAACCCAAGCTTTTCCTAGCCTCCTTATAGCTCATAGTCTTGAATCCAGGCAGCATCCCTGGTAAACCTCTTCTGCACCCTCTCCAAAGCCTCTACATCCTTCCTATAATGTGGAGACCAGAATTGAACACAATACTCTAAGTAGGCAGTTGTCAACTGCAACCATTGACACTGACTCTGGTCAAAAATCTAACAAATCAAGACAGAAAGCCACATAGACAAGAATTTCAGAGACTATAGACCTTTCAGATGGGTCACTGGACCCAAAGTTTTAACTCTGCTTTCTCTCTACAGATGCTGTCAGACCTGCCGAGCTTTTCCAGCAATTTCTGATTGTGCTTCTGATTTCTAGCATCCACACATCTTTGTTTCTTTTTGTTCAGGTGTTTTGGAAAAATGGTCACACTCAAGCTTCAGGCAGATAGACGGGTGACTGCTAGAAAGGGCAGGCAGACAGTAGGAGGCCCCTGTGGCTATCTCCATCTCTAACTGGTATATTGTTTTGGATAGTTAAGGGAAATTGCCCATCAGGGGATGGTGACAGAGGCAGCGAGGCCAGTGGGACCAGAGTTGGCTCTGTTCTACAGTAGGGAGGGTCAAAGTGCAGTATAGCAGCAGTAATTGGGGGCTTTACAGTCAGGGGCACAGCTAAGCATTTCTGTGATTGCAAAAGGATGTCTCCAAGAATATGTGGGACATTCAGAAAATGGTGGGCAAGCAGCTAGAGGTGGTGGTACACACTGGTGCTAATGACATAGACAGGAAGAATGACAAGGTCCTCCGAAGTGACTTCAGGGAGTTAAGTAATAAAAGTTGAAAAGTAGGATCTTTAGAGTTGTAATCTTGAGATTACTCCCTGTGCCATGTGCCAGTGAGGCTAGGAATAGGAATATTGTACAGATATATGTGAGGCTAAGGATCCGTGATGGAGGGAGGCCTTCAGATATGTGGATCATTGGGATGTCTTCCAGACCAGGTGGGACCTGTACAAGGAGGATAGGTTGCACCAATATTCTAACAGGGAGCTTTGCAAGTGTCACTCAGGACAGGTTAAACTAGTGGGGCGGTGGGACATTTAGGAATCAATGCAGTAGATCAGTGAAACGACCAAGGAGGAGTTAGAGACTAAGGGCAATAAGGCTAAGAGGAAAAACAAACAGGGAGAGGACTCTTCGCGTGTAAATAAAGGGTGACTTGGTGATGGGATACCAGCCCCTCTGGAGTTATTTCAGTGGTGATGAGAGAAAAGCATGTTCCTGAAGAAATTTGCTCGCAACAGTCATCGTTGTGTTAGGGTAAGTATTTCTGGCATCACGCTGTTATTTGGGAAACTTAACTTGTTTGATCCTTCTGAAGACTGGGTCCAGTATGTGAAAGGAATGCAATTTTTTTTCTGGGCAAATTACATTGGGGGAGATTAAAAGAAATGAGTAATTCTCCTGACACCTTGTGGACCTGCAACTTTTTAAATTAGGAGCCTAACTTTCCCTGAGGCACCATATATTAAAATCTTTCAAGAACCGACAGATCCAGTTAAAGAATATTACAACCTCAAGCCTCTACTATTCTAAGACACTATTGGTTTTATTCAGCAATTTGAGAACCGGGGAATCCATACTGAAGTTTTTGACTAGGTTGAGATGACTGGCAGAGGCATGTGACTTTGGTTTAACCCTTAATGAGATGCTGAGGGACTGTTTGGTATGTAGGATTAATGATGTAACCATGCAAAAGCACCGACTAGCTGAAGCCCAATTGGATTTCAAACAGGCACTACAACTGGCTTTATCATTGAAAAATGCAACAATTAGGGTATTCAGATGGAAACAGACACCCTCACCAGACCAACTGAGCTTGGGGAACACCACTTGAGTGAAAGCAATTGCATGGCCTCATTCAGGACGTATCCTGAACAGAGGGACTCCAGGTCAGCACACAGTAAAACCCCAAAACAAAGCTAAACCTCGGCCAAACGGTTACAATTTTCTTCAGGATCCAGGCCCACAAGACATTGTGGTTGCTGCTGTTATGTGGACTTGAAACAGCCACTAGACCTAAATTGAGTAAGAGAACTCATAGGCCAGCATCCAGGAAAGTGCACACCTTGGTTTGGAAGAGCTAAATTGCTTAGCAACATCCAAATCAGGATCAATCAAAATAAATGTCTGGTTAAATTGTAACCCTGTTCTAATGGAGGTTGATACTGGCGTGGCCGTTTCAGTGGTCACAGAACCAGTCTTTAACAAAACCATTTTGGACTCCACCACTTAGGTTTGTGCAAGACCTCAGCTAGGCTGTGAACCTATACTGGGGAACGTTTACAGATTAAGAGCATAAAATTTTGGTTGCGGTCCCTTATGAGAAGCAGCTGGTTCAGTTATCATAGATTATACTGTGGTCGGTTCGCTCGCCGAGCTGGTTCATTAGTTTGCAGACGCTTCATTACCCTAGTGGGTAATATCATCAGTACAGCCTCCGATGAAGCGCTGTTGTGTTTTCCCACCTGATATTTAAACTCTGGGGTCTGTTGGGTTTGGTTACCTCATTTCCGGTTTTCCTTTGCAGTGGTGTGTATGTATAGATTCTAGTTCTATGTTTTTGTTGATGGCCTTCTTGGTGGAGAACGAGGCCTCTTGGAATTCCCAGGCTTGTCTCTGTTTGGCCTGTCCTAATCAAACCAGCGGTTCTCCTTATTTGAGTGAATGGAGATGGTGGTGTCTTTTTGTTGCTAGTTGGTGTTCATGTACTCTTGTGGCCAATTTCCTTCCTGTCTGTCCAATGTAATGTTTGTCGCAGTCCTTGCATGGAATTTTGTCTATTACATTGGTTCTGTCCATAGCAGGTAGGGAGTCTTTGGTTAGAGTTAGCAGTTGGCGCAGGATTGACGTGGGTTTGTGTGCTACTCTGATGCCCAATGGGCGTCAGAGTCTTGTGGTCAGTTCAGATAGGTTCTTGACGTATGGTAATGTGATGAGTGTGTTAGGGTGTGCAGTATCTTCCTGTTGTTGTTTGTGTGATAGGCATTGTCGGATCCTGTTGTTTGGGTATCCGTTTTCCTTGAAGAATTGGTAGAGGTACTCTTCTTTTTGGTGTAGTTCCGGGTTGCTACAGTGTGTTGTCGCTCATTTAACTAGTGTTTTCACATAACTAAATATCAGGCAGGAAAACACAACAGCGCTTCATCAGAGGCTGCACTGATGATGTCACCTAGTAGGATAATGAAACATCTGCAAACTAACAAACCAGCTTAGCAAGCAAACCAAACACAATTAACAATAACTAGACTGGATACAAAATTAAGGATCTAATGATGACCACAAAACTATTGTCAACTGTTGGCAAATCCCACTTATTTCACTAAGGTCCTTTAGGGAAGGAAGCCTACATGGTCTGGCCTACATGTGGCTCCAGACTACAGCAACGCGGTTGACACTCAACTGCCTCTCAGCAATTGGGGATAGGCATAAATGCTGGTCTGGCCAGTGATGGCCACATACATGAATGAATAATAACAAAATAAACCTGGTAAAGGGCAATGAGCCTGGGCAGGTCATCAAAGTTTCAGTGGGGGAGGATTACAGAAACAGTGACCATAATTCCATAAGTTTAAAGTTATTCATGGATAAGAGTAGCCCTCAGGTGAAAGTACTAAATTGGGTTTAAAGGCTTTGGGGGTGGGAAGAATGGGGCTTGTGTGTATTTAATTCCAATAGCTTGCGGAGTACATTTTCTCCCTGGTTCAGTTGGCTGGACGGCTGGTTTAGGAGGCACAGCAATGCAAAGAGCGCGAGTCCATTGGAAGTCCCCACGAAGGACTCTTCTTAACATTGCCCGAGGTATGACCCTCATCACCAGGCACCTCTCTGATAAAATAAAGAACTGCGAATGCTGGAAATCTGAAACAGAATGTGCTGGAAAAACTCAGCAGAATCTGTGGAGAGAAAACTGAGTTACACCTCGGGTCCAATGCCCAGTTCCTAAGAATTACTGTCTTTTTTTTCTCAATGATACGACGACATTACCTTTCTTCCTCCGAAAACACATCACTTGCCCGTTCTTCAGGATGAAATAACATTGTCCCAGTAACCGTCCAATTTTTGAATTTCCCGCTCATCGGCACGAGGCGGGAAGAGGTAGACTCGTAAGTCACGTGCGCCCCGGGTGGAGGGTGGGGTCAGCCTTTTTTTTTATCGTCGTCCCCTTTCTGACGGCGCACAGCGACTTTTGCTGTATCTTCGGAAACCGTGCAACCGAGTACGATGTGATTTTTTTTGTGGGGGGCGGGGCGTTCAGAGCGGTGCGTGTTTGGTTACACGCAGACGCCAGCCGCCACCGAGGGCGGAAAGGCAGGGAATGTGTTATTCCCCGTCGAGGGAACGGGACAGAAACTACAACTCCCGGCATGCCGCGCGGGCCGCGCATGCGTCGTTCCTGCCCAACGTGGCGGGCATGCGTAACTATGATGGCCCGTCCATAAGGAGCAATAGGTGAGGTTAGTGAAAACAAATTGGTGTCTGCTCCCAATGGCAAATCTGAAATGTCCGCTTGATACATGGTCAGCTTTAATCCTTTGTTAGCCTTCTTACGTGAGGGGACAGGCGATTGCTGGGGGCTAGGTGAAAAAGCGGGAGGTTGGAAGGAATGACCCTCAAGCAAACAGGGCGAATTAACTTGCATTTATATAGCCTAGCACTCTCCTCGGGGACTCCTGTGGCGCAGTGTTAGCATTCCTACCTCTGTGCCGGGAGGCTCACGTTCAAGTGATCCACTTCCTCCAGAGACATGTCATGATGTCTCTGAACAGCCTGAATAGATTATAAAAATATCTGTGACTGGACATTTCTTATAGCACAGTGGTAATATCCTTATCTCGGAGTTAGGAGGCTCGGGTTCAAGTCCTGCTTGCTCCAGAGGTGTGATATACAGGTAGAACAGGTCAATCAGGATTACAATCACAATTTCAGTATGTCCCATCGGAGCAGTTGTTGTCGTCATGGTTGTAGGAAATGTGACTGGTGCTAACTCTTCAAAACATAGATAAGCTACTTTAGTGATGCCGGCTGAGGGATTAATAGATATTTTCCTTAGCAATCTGTTTTTCCTAACCTGTTATTCCACCATCTGTGAAACAGGTGGGTCTTGACCCCCAGCCTCCTGTCTCATAGGTAGGTACATTATCAGCCCCCTACAAGAGCCCTTTAAGAAATTGATATATTGACTGTCATGGCTTGGTGTATGGCCCTCCTTTTTCTTTGAATAGTATGAAGGGAATTTTGTTTTGCCTACCTGAGATTTTTCTATATCAGTTATGACTTGGTTGGTAACTGTCTTACCTCTAGCTCAGAAGTTTGTTCAAATCCTACTCCAAGATTTCATCACTGAAATCTTGGGCCAGCATTCTAATGCAGTACAGAAGGAGTCCTGCATTATCTGTCTTCGGTGCTGTCTTTCAGATGGGGAGGCAATGGCCTGGTGGTATTATCGCTGGACTGTTAATCCAGAGACCCAGATAATGTTCTGGGGACCTGGGTTCAAAACCCGCTACAGCAGATGGTCGATTTTGAATTCAATAAATATCTGGAATTAAGAACCTAATGATGAGCATGAATCCATTGTTGATTGTTGGAAAAACCCATCTGGTTCACTAATGCCCTTTAGGGAAGGAAACTGCCATCCTTACCTGGTCCAGTCTCCACGTGACTCCAGCCCCACAGCAATGTGGTTGACTTTTAAATGCCCTCTGGGCAATTAGGGAAGGGCAATAAATGCTGCCTAGCCAGTGACACCCTCATCCCGTGAATGAATAAAGAAAAACAATTAAACCAAGGCTGTCCTCTCAAGTTGATGTGGAAAATCCCAAGTTTTAAGAAAGAGCAAAAGTGTTATCTTCAATGTTCTGGTCAAAATTTTATCCCTCAATAAACAATATTATCTTATCATTCTCACATTGCTCGTTGGCAGGGCTTACTGTATGGTTTTAGGTGGCAGTATGTTAATATACTTCAAATGTTCCTCATTCACAGTAAGTACTTTTTGGATGACCTGAGGTTATGAAAGATACTTTTGGAAGTTTTCTTTAAATACGAGCTGAATGACCTCCTGTGGTGTACGTTTTTAAGATTCCATAATATCTTGTCTGGATGTTGCTTGTCTCATTAATGTTTTATTCTAGATCCACGAAAAGTTTTGTTTTTATCAACAACTCAAAGTGTTATGATGTTATTGTTCTGCTTTGCACAATATTTCAGTGGGGACAAGATCTGGTGTAAGATGTTTCAAGTTGAGAATTATGAGGAAAATTTATTTGTGGAAGGAACCATTTACAAGACACACTGCTCAACACTTATTTAAAAATTAGGTTGAAGGATAAATGCTATTTCCATCGGTTCTGAGGAAAGGTCACTTGACCTGAAACGTTAACTCTGATTTCTCTCCACAAATGCTGCCAGACCTGCTGAGCTTTTCCAGCAATTTCTGTTTTTGTTTCTTCTTTTAAGTAGGTATATATTTATGTTCACTCTGAAAGTTGTCAGTTTAAGCAGTTTCCCTCTGCTCAAGGGATCCCAATGAAAGTGGAAACTGAATCAATATCTATTATTGCCATTTTTAACTCTGGCTGATTCAGAACAAAGTGTGTGTTTAACCTTAAGCCACACAGATTCTAAAGTCCTAAGCCTGTTGGCTTTTATGAGCAGTAATTGCAATATTACAATTGCAATCCGTACCTTTGGAGCCATAATGGGCTTCCACACTGTAGGGATTCTATGATCTATGATAATATATGAAATCATCAATGGCTCCACCTTCTGATCAAAGGTTGGGTGACGATGAGATCAGGATGGCTGATCCCACGTTGTCAGTCACTAAGCATGAATCAGTATATTAAGAATAGAAAGTTAAGTAGCTGTCGGAATCGTATTGCTGCAACACTTAGATTCTAAAGAGCATAATTACCAAGTTTGTAAATACTCCTTGGTGCGGTGACTCCCTGAGAATTCATTTGATCCAGTAAAGTTAGTACTTTGCTGTTAAAAGAGAAAAATTCAAACGATTAGATGAAACTGGCACAGTCAGAAAATAAAACCTATTCAAAGCCGTTTCTTTGCATAAGTTTGCTTTCAAAGGCAAACAATTGAGTATGGCAGTGTGAACGTTCATGGATAACCTAACTTCAGGAAACCTTGACAACTGGAATTTTTCTCAGCTTTAAGTCACCCTAAGTACAATGCTCTTAAAGGTCTGTATGTTTTTCTGAGCTCATTGGTAAATAATCTCAGTTACTTATTTAATGTTAAGTTTGTGATGAAGTTATTTCTAAAAATTACTGAGGCTGGAAACATGAGTTGGAGTGAATGGTTACACATACTTAGCTCAATCTGATCTCTTGATTACTGCTATTTATTCTGTGTGACAGACTTGCAGGGGTTTAACTGGATGTATGTAGCATATTATATGGCATAAATCAGCCAACGTAAGGAGAACTGAAGCATCGGTGTGATTTTATAAAGCAAATGAGCCTTGTTTTACCAATGTGTAGCTTTCTCCGCCCAAGTTGCAGAATCACATGAGGAGGCCATTTGGCTCATTGTATTTACATCGGTTTTTCAAATAAACATCATGACTTATTGCCGTTCTCTTGCCTGTTTCCCATATCCTTATATGCGATTCTATTTAAATTATTTTCTGATGCCCTCTTGAATGCTTCATTGAACCTGCCTTTACTGCACTTCCAGGCTGTGCATTATGGACTCTAACAAGGAGATAGCAAGAACTGCAGATGCTGGAGTCAGAGACAACACAGTATGGAGCTGGAGGAACACAGCATGTCAGGCAGCATCAGAGGAGTAGGAAAGTCGACATTTTGGGTTGGGAGCCTTCTTTAGAACTGGGGAGAGGGAAGGGAGCAGGGAACTAGAGGGAGGCAGTGGCGTAGTGGTATTGTGGCTAGACTGTTAATCCGGAGACCTAGATACATTCTGGGGACCGGGGTTCAAATCCCGCCACGGCAGAATTTAAATTCAATAAATATCTGGGGTTAAGAATGTAATGATGACTGTGGATCCATTGTTGATTGTTGGAAAACCCATCTGGTTCACTAATGTCCTTTTTAGTGAAGGAAACTGCCATCCTTACCTGGTCCGATCTCCATGTGATTCCAGACCCACAGCAATGTGGTTGACTCTTAACTGCCCTCTGGGCAATTATGGATGGGCAATAAATGCTGCCTAGCCAGCAACACCCTCATCCCGTGAATGAATTTAAAAAAGATAAGTAGCGGGAGGAGGGATGGTGATAGGTAGTGGGGATTGGTCAGCGGGAAACGTGAGGCGGATAGATGGGGAAGAAGGTGGATAGGTTGTGTCCGGTCAAGGAGGCAGTGATGAGAGGGAGGTCTGGACATGGGATGAGGCCGGGGTGGGGAGATTTTAAAACTGGTGAATTCTGTGTTCAGGCCATTGGGTTGTACACTCCCAAGGCGGAATATGAGGTGTTGCTCCTCTAGTTTGTGTATGGCGTCATGGTGGCACTGGAGGAGGCCCAGGTCACCCAGGGAATGGGAGGGGAAGTTAAAATGGTTAGCGACCAAAAGGTTTTGTCGACTTTTCGCGTACACAGTGCAGATGCTTAACAAAATGGTTCCCAAGTCTGCCCTGGTCTCACCGATGTAGAGGAGACCACGTTGGGAGCAACAGATACAGTAGACCAGGTTGGAGGATGTACAGGTGAACCCATGTTGGATATGGAAAGTTTGCTTGGGGCCTTTGACGGAGGTGAGGGACGAAGTGTAGAGGCAGGTGCGCTGCTGATGCCAACAATGTCACTCCTGCTGTCGACGTCACTTTTTTTTTGCTTCCCCTTACGTGAACATCCCCATCCATCCGCCGACTCCTGAGACAGTCTCCACTCCCAGCTCCAGCTCTACACCCAACCCCAGTCCCAAGTCCTGACGGTTATTCACCATCCCTCCCAGATCTCCCCCTCACTGAGAACGAATAGGCAGTCCTCAGCAAGAGACTGTCCATCATTCTCCTGCACCCACTCATCGATGAATTCCATACACGCCTGGATGTTGAACTCTTTTTCCATTGCCTCCGCCTCTGCGTGTATTTCTTCGACTGGGAATCTAACCCATCCTCTGCCGACCCCTACTTCCGCCTCCAACAAACCTCAACCTCCTGGACACCATCCCACGGCTTCCTACCTTCCCTCGACCTCTTCATCTCCAACTGCTGTCATGACGTTGATCACCTTAATCTCTCCACCCTTCTCACTCATTCCAGTCTGTTCCCCGACAGACCATGCAGCCCTCTGCTCCAACCCTAACCTCCCCATCAAACCCGCAGATAAGGTGGTGGGGGGGGTGCAGTAGCAGTATGGTACACTGACCTCTACATCGCGGAGGCCAGGCACCCACTCTCTGACACCACTTCCTACTGACCCCTCGATTATGACCCCGCTCCTGAACACCAATCCATCATCTCTCAGACCGTTCATAACCTTGTCACCTCAGGTGACCTCACAGCCTTCAACCTCATCGTTCCCTGCACCGCCCGTTTCTATCTTCTTCCCAAAATCCACAAACCTGACTGCCCTGGCCGACTCATTGTCTCTGCCTGCTCCTAACCCACTGAATTCCTCTCCTCTTACCTTGACTCTGTCTTTTCCCCCAGTCCAGGAACTCCCCACTACTTTCAGGGCACCACCCATGCCCTCCACCTCCTCCAAGACTTCCAATTCCCTGGCCCCCAAAACCTCATCTTGACTGTGGACATCCAATCTCTGTACACTTGTATCTTCCACGCAGATGGTCTAAAAGCCCTCGCTTCTTCCTCTCCCACAGGCCCAACCAGTTCCTCTCCGCTGACACTTTCATCCACTTAACAGACCTTGTTCTTACCCTGAACAACTCCTCCTTTAACTCCTCCCACTTCCTGCAAACTAAGGGGGTGGCTATGGGCACCTGCATGAGTCCAAGCTATGCCTGCCTCTTCGTAGGATACGTGGAACAGTTCCTTTTCCACTATTACACTGGCACCATCCCACACCTCTTCCTCTGTTACATTGACAGTATTGGCACTGCCTCGTGCTCCCATAAGGAGCTTGAACAGTTCATCAACTTTACTAACACCTTTCATCTTAACCTCAAATTCACCTGGACCATCTCCAATACCTCCCTGCCCTTCCTGGACCTCTCCGACTCCATCTCTGGTAACTGCCTCAACACCGACGTCTATTTCAAACTCACTGATTCCCATAGCTACCTGGACTACACCTTCTCTCACCCACTCTCCTGCAAGAATGCGACCCCTTACTCCTAATTCCTCCACCTCCGCCGCATCTGCTCCCAAGATGGAGTGTTCCACTCCTGGACATCCCAAGTGTCCTCCTATTTCAAGGCTTGCAACTTCCTCCAGTGATTAAAAATGCCCTCAACTACATCTCTTACAGTTCCTGCACTCTGCCCTCAAACCCCCCTCCACCCCCCCCCCCCCCAACAGAAATAAAGACAGAGTCCCCCTGGTCCGCACGTACCATCCCATCAACCTCCGCATCCAGCGTATCATCCTCCGCCCCTTCTGCCAACTACAATCTGACTCCTCCACCAAAGAATTATTTCCCTCCCCACCCCATATGCCTTTCGTAGGGACTGCTCACTCCGTGACTCCCTCGTCTGCTCCACACTGCCTGCCACACCTGGCAACTTTCCTTGCAACTGCAGGTAGTACTACACCTGCGCCCCAACGCGCCCCCCCACCTCTGTCCAAGGCCCAAAACAAACTTTCCATATCATCCGTACGTCCTCCAACCTTGTCTGCTGTATCCGTTGCTCCCGATGTGGCCTCCTCTACATCGGTGCGACCAAGCGCAGATTCGGGGACTGTTTCGTGGAGCATCTGTGCTCTGTATGCGATAATCAGCAACACCTTCTGGTCGCTAACCATTTTAACTCACCCTCCCACTCTCTTGATGACATGTCCATCTTGGGCCTCCTCCAGTGCCACAATGACACCACACACAAACTGGAGGAGCAACACCTCATATTTCACCTCGGGAGCGTACAGGCCATGGCCTGAACATAGAATTTACCAGCTTTAAAATCTCCCCACCCCCGGCCTCATTCCACGTCCAAACCTCCCTCTCGCCCCTGCTTCCTTGATCTGACACTTCCTGTCCATCTTCTCTCACACCTATCCGCCTTCCCACTGACCAACCCCCTACCTGCATCCACCTATCACCATTCCACCTACCTTACCCCAGCCCCTCCCGTCTTTCCTCTATTTATTTCCCAGCTCCCTTCCTCTTCCCCAGTTCTAAAGAAGGGTCCCGACCGGAAACATCGAGTTTCTTACTCTTCTGATGCTGCCTGACCTGCTGTGTTCCTCTAGCTCCACACTGTATTGTCATAGACTTTAACAACTTGTGCGAAAACGTCTTTTCTCACCCTGCATTTGTTTCTTTTACAAATCATTTTAAATCTGTCAGAATTATAACTACAGCAAAAACGATTGCTGAGAATCTCTTGCTAGAAGGCACATGTACAGGCAAAGTCCTGTTCCTGCGTAGACTGTGGTGCCTCATTCACCAGCCTTTTCCTTGTATGTGACCCTAGAATGTGACAGCAGAATATTTGCCTTTGGAGAAGGTCACAGCATAACACTGTTCATCATGTGATATTCACACATGTTCCCCTTTCTTTAGAGGGCTTCTGGTTAATCCATTGAATCAACACTGGCGGATTTGTCCTGCCTAGTGCAGAATGCCACCATTTCCAAATTCCTCCTCCAAGTTGCACACCATCTGACTTACAAATCATAGAATGGTAAAGCGCTAAAGGAGATCATTTGACCCATTATATCTGATGGATCTTTGAAAGAACTATTCAATTAGTTCCACTTGATGAGTTACCACTGTTCCTCTGTTGTAACTGGGTTAAATCCTGAAACTCCCTACTTTATAGCACTCTGGGAATCTGCGGTGACTCAAGAAGATGGATAACCATGATCGTTGCAGGGCAGTTGGGAATGGGTAATTAATGTCAGCAACATCCACATTTATTTTTATGGTTAAAAATGTGCTGAGAAATTTAATTAATCTTGGCACAGAGCTGGAATCCTGGACCTAGCGGTCTGTGCATCTCACCTGCACTAACAAAATCTGAGGCGATGCTTACTGATGTATTTCCTGTTTGTGATTTCAGTGATAGCCTTCATGAATACTGAAGAAGACCATGTCTATGATCCTGTTTGCCTATGTGGTCCGGGTGACGGATGGGCTTCCTCTCTCTGCTTCTACAGACTTTGAGTGCAGCAGGGAGCTGCAGGAGTGTAAAAAGCAACTGAAAGTTGTGTCTAAAATGCTTGGACAGTTTCCTGGCCGTGGCACTGTGAAGAGCAATCAGCTTCACATACAGTGAGTATCCCATCACCCACATCAACAATGGGAATGCTATAAATAGCTTGTTGCACCCGAGTTATCGAAACAGATGCTACAAATTTTTCTGAAAGCTGAGTCTCTTGAATTGGAACATTTTGAGATGTGCTCTTTAACTTCAGCATCAGCGTCCTATAGAGATCATTCCTCCTTTATGTAGCTTAATAAGATAGGGATGCCTGTTGCTAACCAGGAAAGGTTGGAAACCAGTCAATGGGGCAGGCAGCAGATGTGGAGAGATAGATGGAGTTACTGCTTCACATCTGTGATCATTTGTCTGGAATCTGGACAAAAGGTCACACAGTTGACGTGCTGACCATGTTTCTTTCTCCACAGATGCTGCCTGAACTCGTGGACATTTCCAGCATTTTTCAGCATCCATACCATTTTGCTTTTGTAAAACTGATTGGTGTTGTGCTGTAGGTTACTCTATGCCAATTTTAGGTCAGAGATGAGGGGAATCCTTTCTCTCGGGGTGGGTGGGGGGCGGGGGGGTTGGTGGGTGGGTGGGTAGGGGGGTGGTGTTGGGGTGGGGGGCGCTGCTGGCCTGGGGAATTCTCTTCTCAAAAGACAGCGGCAGCTGTGTCATTAATTCTGCCTTGAATAAATTCAGAAAGATTTTTGAGAGTTAAGGGTTATTGGGGGCATGGCAGAAAAGTGGGGTTGAGAACACAATCGGTTTGTTGTGATCTTGTTGAATGGCAGAGCTAGCTCAAGTGTCCAACTCCTGCTCCTAAATCCTGTGAAACGGTGGGTTCTAAGGCTTTGGGACATTTTGTAGAGCAGCGTAGCAACGAGGTAGAGTGCATTTGTTGGGATTCGTGGTTAGTGCACAGCTTGAAGTTTTCTGGGTTTGCATCCAGTAAACAGAATGGAAAATATTCTCATCCTGCCTCTTCATGCATTCACGTGAACAGGCCATTGAATACCTATGACTCAAGGTACTCTTCTATGAGCCCCCCAGTAGAATTCCAGTCCATACCTTGTACCCTGTACTGTTCCTTTTTGTTCAAGACAATACTGTATCAAATTTCAAAGGAATTTATGGGCTCTGCTTTAGCAATAGTTTGTGACTACAAATCCCATGCTTTAACCACATGTATGTAAGGCTATTAACCTAGATATTGACCTCTCCTCCATGGTCAGGATTAAAACTTAACTCCAATAAAACCTGTTCCTACTTTTGCAATTCTTATGGCAGTCGGTAGTGAGGTATTTTGGAGAGAAGGGCAAATTCATTATTAAAAATCAAGTGCCCACTGTACAGTTGAGGACCAGTTTTCAGTTTAGCCATTGCTGTTGGGTTCCTCAGGACTGAAGGAAGCATGGCAGTGAAAGAGAAGCTGTTTGTTTTTTATTGTATTCTTGTGGACCGGAGAAGCTGGAAAACTCCACCCAGATCTTTTAGGGGAGTCTTCAACCTCCTCTTGTGGAATTAAGCTACTTTTGAGCATTGCGCATGGCATCCCTTTCTTACCATGACCAAGGGCAGGCAACAACAACACCTCTCAGCCCTACCCATACCCCCTCTTAAGTTCCGAAATGAGGTTTCGTGGCGCGTTAGTCTCAGTTAGCTTGACAGCTGGTTTTTTTTTTAACTCACTGTAATGAAGAGGGCAGAACTTGTATGCAATACTGCATCCTAACTTAAAGTGTTGTTGTACAAGTTCAACATTAGCCTCCTTATTTTCCATTCCATGCTCAGGCATATTTGAAATAATTTTTGACCTGATATTGTCATATCTAAGTACAGGGCACAGATTTGTACTTTCAACTTGCACGAGCGTAATGCCAAATCAGGAAGATGTAATTTAGTGCTTTGGTTATAGGGCATAGGCTAGTTCTCTTTTGATATTAAAACAAATTCCTTGTGCAACATGCCAAGCAGCATCATAGGAGCAGAGAGGCTGACGTTTCGGGCCTAGACCCTTCATCAGAAAAGGGGGAGGGGAAGGGGGTTCTGAAATAAATAGGGAGAGAGTGGGAGGCGGATAGAGGAGAGGATAGGTGGAGAGGAAACAAACAGGTCGAAGAGGCGGGGATGGAGCCAGTAAAGGTGAGTGTAGGTAGGGAGTTAGGAAGGGGATAGGTCAGTCCAGGGAGGAC